CCTCCTTCCTTCCTTCCCATCCATCCACCCACCCACCCATCCATCCACCCACCCACTATCTATCCGTTCTCTTTTCTTTTATTCATTTATTGGTCTCATCCTATTTAATCCCATTTGATCCCATTCCACCATCTATACCATCTTATTTCTCTATTTACAATATACTATATTTTTTTAMATTTTAGGATGATCCACAGTCATTCTTGTTCCTCATTTCCAAAAGTGAAATCCCGAGATCCCCTCGGCCTCTCTTCACGCTTCCTTCAACAATCAAATCAATAGGTAAGATTATCAATAATCTGTTTGGTCATTATTATTAATCAGCAGAATAAATCTCCTTACCAGCCTTCAGTGATGGACAAACACTGCTGGCCATGTGCTATCGTCCATGTACATTTTCTATTGAAAATTTGCCATTCAGGTGGTAAAACTCCATGCAAGACCAGAAACGACTTGTAATGATAGCAATCTACTAAATATATAAACAAGAAAGTTTGAAAAACCAATTTTAACGGAGTGTATAAATGTGTCTATTTTTGTAGTTACTGAATCAAAGACCCTTCTGTCATTTCCAGTAAGTATTATTCTCTTTCCAAAAGTATTAGTCGTTTATTTTGTCATTGATATAGTGGATAAAGTGCAATGCATACTACTGCACCTTACAATATATAGCCCATTTTTGAGATATCATGACCAACCGCATCATAGCAAGGCTGTGTGTGAAGGTGCTCTTGGCAGCACAAAGTATAAAAGCGTTCTTCCTGAGAAGTTTTGGCTTTGACATGCGACTGAACAATATACCATTTTATAAACAAAGTGTCAAAGACAAACTTCTCAGAACGCTCTTATATTTCATGCCACTRTCTTCGCAGGTAGCCTCACTATGGTGTACTTGGTCACATCATCTTGGAAATGGTTTTAACTTTTCACATGTGAAAAGTTAACATATCAAGCTTTACTCTATATGTTAGTGTTGAAGTTGGAGTAGAGAAAGCTCACTCCATATATGGTATGATCAATTCCATATTTTGATTGTGCGGAAAAGCGGCAAACAAAAAGGTTAGCAAGGCTGACGTAGCCAATCCCTGAAAATCAGCTTCAGTTGGGATGTTATAAAGGAAGAGTTGTAGTTATAACACTACTGATGCATCCTTTGTTTTTTATTCGTCTAGGAACAGAAACGAGTTCATGCTGACGCTCTAACATTTTGTCAAGAACAAGTGGGTAGTTACCAGAACCTGTTGCAGGCGCACAGATCAATTCTGTAAGTAGAACTACACTGTATTAACGAATAACTGTCGTTCTGATTGGTTGGGAGCACGTGCATTATGAAAGCACACAGCACGCGCGCGTTATATCAGTTGCATCATTCCTATCCATATAATAACGGTATTGAAATTTGTATTTTATGAAAGAAATAAAAAACTTGCTTGCTGTGCCGTGTGGAGCTGTGCACTTGGGGATTGGCTGAACACTCGAGAAGTGTCGAGAAGCACTCTGCCTACGTGTCATGCTACTCCTAACACATCTCTTTACTGCACACAACACGCTTGCGCGTTTTCTCTCTCTCTTCTTTACTACATTAGAAGATGGTAAAATGACTCCAAAAATGTAGATCTGAAAATCGTCTGTGGAGTTGAGGTATAAGGTGTTGATAGGTTAATAGTTTAGTGGTTTGATGATGGGACGTCTGTGACTGTTGTAAGATTATGGTAGATAATGGTAGAATGATTAGGTAAGGTTTCAGTTTAGATATGAGGTGTTATTTATATTTTAATTTTTATTCCTAATCTTTTTTTAGAAAACAAATGTTAAAATTGAATTCAAAGCTGAATCAACTAAGATCCACCTTATCAAGTAACTGTATAAAACTAGAAGAACGACTTGAATTCTGCCGAGAAAGGTTTGTATTCAAAACCATCTATATTATGCCTAGGAATTCATTTTAGCTCTTGCGAGAAGCGAAGTGTTGATTTGGCACATTTGTTGCGCGCAAGCTGGGTAACGCCTCTTTGAGTAGAAAGTATTCGCTTATTCGCTGTACCACGTCAACGAAAATGAGAGAATACTGAGAAACCAAGTGCAGTCATTGAAAGATTTCGAGTTAAGATAGTGCAAAAACAAAAAAATAAATAAAAATTWAAAAAAATAAATGAATAAATAAAAAGCTTATCTGGATACCGCGGGATTTGAACCCACGTTAAAAATTCTATAATTAATTCCAAAATATAAAACCTGTGCCTACGAATTGCCATACCCTCGAGACATCCGCAGAGCTGAGGCGGCGTATGGACTTCGGACCTGACGGCAATTAAATCCTTCTGCCCTTGGGTGTACGAATTACGCAAGAAAATGTTCTAGCCGAAGCATCAGGGGAGAGACCAGCCGGCCCCCAGACCATAACGGCTAATCCCTTGCATCTCCGCCACGCACTAGGTACATTGATTTGAAAAGTAAAAATAAATCTAGTCTATCTGGCGCATCGTTTTCACGGCTAATGTTGTGTTAATTTCACGAAACCGTGGTCCAGTGGAAAAAACTTGGGCTTCCAAAACAGTGAGTGAGTGTTTATTTTTTGTTTTGTTAGCGCAATTCGCTACAATCCCGGTCTGCAAAAAGCTTTCCCAATATATCAGTCTCCGAGCAGCAGGTTACCACACAMCCAGTTTCTCATTCGTTTAGTATCTAGGGCATACAATTCACATGACAATCTTTTTTCGTTTCCTTATAGTCTAGATATTGATAAGGAGTGTTATTCAGACGTTGTGGTTGATATACAAGGTAAAAGACATTTTAAAACTTTTTACATTGCATGTGCTAGGACTTTACAGGAATGAGARGCCCGCTTCATCAAGATTGCTTTGCGCACTAATTCTCCTAGACGGCGGAGCTGGGGTATAAATTTAATTTCGTAGTTTAACGAGACTGATATGATTAGACATGCATGAACAAAGTAGGCAAGCAAAGCGTAGCAAAAAAGTATCTAAATAAACGAGGTATGAGTCTATTTTGAGTCTTTGGAAAATGAAAATCGTGAGTACACTGTTTACAACAAGGAAGGAGAATGTTTTTAGTTGCATCCGAGAATCTTGCGATCTTTTCGAACCGCTCCGCGCGCCCTAATGTTCTGATGGATTTCAATTTACTTCAATAGGGAATGAAAAGTTGTTGAAATCATGGAAAGAAGCAGAAAAAACGTATTTTGTATTTGATAAGGTAAGATAAGTTGTGAGGCCGTCACAGTCACAGCACGTCGTAACTTTTCCTAACGTTGGAGTTCGTGTACATGTCTAAGTTTCCATGTCATTGAGATAGACCTGATAATAGTTTATGCCTCTTTTGTTCACTGTTCTAGTCTAATGTAACGTCAGTTGAGAAGACTGCTTTAAACGTGCATGCACAAGTACTTGAAATTCAAAAGATACCATTCAACCAATCGCAGACGACTAACCCGATGCAAGAATTGTGAGTATTGGTAGTGATGTTGCTTGTATGTTCTTTACCTTGTCGTAATGTTTTCCAGACTACGTGTCATTCTCTCGAGAATAGTATTCTTTGCCATGTTTGAGTTATATCCATATTCATGTGTCTTGTTATGTGCAAGTGTTAAACAAAGAAATGATACTCTAGGGAATGACACGTGGTCTTAAGGGCCTGAACACATGATGTAATATGTTGTGTGTCGATTAAATGGTTAGGTATGTTGCCGCTCGACAAGTCTACGAAGACCTTAAGCAAAGAAACTTATCGTGTAAGTAAAGAGTTGAAATATTATTCGTACTAGGTTTTGTATTTGTTGTGATGGTGTTTTGTTGTTGGGAATCCAACAGGTTATGATCAAAAGATGGCAGACTGCAGCAAGATAGCTGAGGTTGTTGTGAAATGTTTAACGAAAAGAGAAAAAGCTGTCAAAGATATGTTTGTGCATTTGAGGTAAGACAGTGCACCGTCATCATTATCATCATAAGTCATCATCATCATCAGTCCTCACTATCAGTATTCATCATCATCATCAGTACTCATCGTCATCATCAGTATCCATCATCATCAGTATTCATCATCATCATCAGTATTCATCACCACCATCAGTCGTTATCATTGTCATCATCATCACCATCAACATCATCATTGGTCATCCTTAGCTTCATCATTATCTTCATCAGTCGTTAACATTGTCATCATCGTCATCATCATCATCGTCATTGGTCATCCTTAGCTTCATCATTATCTTCATCAGTCGTTAACATTGTCATCATCGTCATCATCATCATCGTCATCATCATCATCGTCATCATCATTGTCATCATCAGATTGCGGTCTTTGGGAAGGGCTTGTAGATGTTTGTGTAATCGATAATTTTTTAATCTCTATGACAGACGTATTCTTCAATGTACAAGACAAATCCAAGGTATTATTCCTAAAGTTGAAGAAGAAACACGGAAAATATGGAGACACAAAGGACTCGTAACACAGGTAGGTCATCCCTCGTCCTTCTCCTTCCTTCGCCTTCCCTCTTCCTTCTTAATTACCTCCTTCCTTTATTTTTCTTCAACTTTTTCTATAATTTTCTCTATTTTCGCCTTCCCTTTTTCTTGTACCTTCTCCTTCCTTTTCTCTTTGGCTTTTCTTGTCTTCCCAAGCTTATTATAACACCTCTCCTCTAGCAAGAGTGCCATTCCGTAGATACGATCTTAGTTACCGCTGTTTTACAGATCCAGAAACAAAGACAGTACGACATTTGGTCATTGATCAATCAAAAGGTATGAACTGGAATTAAAAAAGGTCATCTCATCTTACAGCGATGTGTTGAGTGTTAGCTGCTCAACTTAGCCAAGTAATTCMAGGACATTTGAATCATTCTAACCTCCCTAACTCTTCTCTCATTTTTACAGACTCAGTTTGATCATGTAACCACGGCAACACGGTATTCATTGGAATCTCACAACAGGTTTGTTCTGTTAAAAAAACTTTTYTTTTTTTTCTTTTTCCCAAAATTCATAAATATTTTTATTATATTCGATATTCTTTTTCTTTAGTGGAAGCGAAGATTCCTCGGAACTCATGCAACAAAGCTACAGAAGTATTGAAAAGTGAGTTCAGCATCAAACTTTAATATTCCAAATACTGGTTGCTATCTTTGTTCTTCCCTCTCATCCTTTCGCCGTTTGTCATGAAAAATTCCCAGCTTTTTGTGACATTTCTTCCAGGTTTTCTGGATTATTTCAGTCTATCAGAATGGAGCACAACCCTGTCACTCCACAGGTAACATTATTTTATTTTCTAATTCCAAATGTTACCGTATCGAAAAAAAGGTTACACCTTAATATTTTCCCCTCCTTTTGCCTAAATTCGTTCTTTGCTCACTTATTATTTTCATTATTTTCTTTTACAGAAGTTGGATTGGAGTTTTCTTGACGTTGACAATGGACCTCAAAACAAGGAAGAGAATTCATAACAAGAATTGACAGACTACGCGCAAAGGAGAGAATTTCCGCAATAAATAACTCAGCGTTGTACTTAGGGCTCGTTAGTAATCAATGAAAAAGACGTTGAGTTTGTCCTTAAAAATCTCCAAAAGAGTTCACTGTTCTGAGAAGCATTTTAATGAAATATATTGCCCAAAGATTGATTACAAAAAACGCTTGTATTTCAAGCTTAGCACTGGTAAAGAAAAAAATAGTATTCAAGAAAATAAAATCCAGTGTACTATGTTTCAATTTAAAATCAGATTATCATATGTAGAGCTGTGCAAATTTTTATCTATCTTTGTAGGATTTTATATTTGTTTTTTTATTTTATATCCACTCGTAGGGCCACAGGTTTGTTAGCATATTGCTATTTAGTGCTACCCTCAGTAAATAAAGACAAAGAGTTTATTATTATTATTATTATTGTAGTCAAGAGCAGACTCTAGACTCTAAAAATATCAATTTACGCGTCATGTACAAACGATAGCAAATAAAATTGAGTAAGACTTTGTAAGGTGTTTTTCAAATGAAAACATAAACGGTTCTATTAATTATTAGGATGAGAAATTACATTTTTAATGAATTGGAAAAGAAGATGTAGAGGAAAGGGCAGGAGAAGAGAGCAGGGAAGATAAGAGCATAAGAAGAGGCCTCATTAGCGGTCTCATATTCAGAGCATGCGTGTACATTGTTATGTAATCCAAGATGGCGGCAGCAGCGAGAAAATTTTTGCGGATATCTTCTCTTTTTGTACTCAGAAATAAGTTGTTTTTACAACAAATCAATATACAGCCTCGTTTTATAACTCATGCAAGACTCTATTCTGAAAAAGTCATAGATCCACCATACTTAGGGCCGTCAGTACCGAACTATAAACACAGAGAAGATGAAACGCTGGAGATGAAGAAATCGCGATTGTTGTATCRGAGCAGGTATTTTATACTGAAAATAGCTTTGATAATGTTACTATTATGTTGGGTTTTTCTTATGAAGTGTTATTCTAAGCTGCCATGTTCAGTTGCAAGAGTTATGGGCTCGCATTTGATACTGCTACATGTTTGTGATTATACAAAATATGAAATAAAAGTAATGAGCTTTAAATATGATAAAAAGTTGCTTATGTAAGCTTCTAACATAAAGTCCAACTTTAAATTTTGCATCAACAGAAAGAGAGGTATGCTTGAGAATGGTCTTCTTCTAAGCACATTTGCAAGCAAGCATCTTGACGAACTGGACGAAGCATCACTAGAGATGTATGACAAGATTATCAACCAGCCCTCAAATGACTGGGATTTATATTACTGGATGACGAGCAATAAACCAACCCCCGAGGAGTATGATAATACTGTTATGGACATGTTAAAGGAACATGCAAGAAATAAGCAAAGAGATGTGCGGCTTCAACAGCCAGATCTGAAACAAAACGAAAGACAGTGAATGGATGAATAGAATAGGATCAAAAACAGCTGGTTTYATTTAGCATAATTATTATTTGTAAATATTTCATTATAAAACGCATAGCAAATGTAAAGATGCGTGAATCTAGTTCATCAAAACAATAAGAGTTTCTTGTAAAAATTTGAAATAAAAGTGTGAGAAGTTTCCATTCCTTGATTGGGTTGCCTGTTTAATAGTAGTCCCGTTTACCCTGGGTACAAGGTTGCTCAGGAGACCAAAACAGCAACAAGTTTGACTTCTTGTTGAAGTCTTGAGTAGGAAAAAATCTTTTTTCAAGAGAATATTTTAATAAGATAACTTTTCCTTTGAACCAATATACTAAGCTTTCTTGGATGTGTTTTGTATTACGCGTAAATTTGGGGTATTTGAAGATTATTTTGTTTGTTTTTGGCGCGAAACATGAATCATGGAGGCAGTTGTGAGTGAACATCAACATGGCCGACGTTTGAACGATAAAGAAACAACTTCAAATCCACCTATTAAAGCAGATATCATACATGAAGCTACTAAGTATTGTCCATTGTATGAAGCTGCCGAGAAGGGCGATGTGGAGGAGCTGACTCGCTTGTTGTCCAGGAGTCAAATAGACGTGAACGAAAAGTCAGGTGGACATGGCGCCTACAGGACCTCTCTTCATGGAGCTGCAGGATACGGACACTGGAGAGCTACTAGGACACTCTTGACGGTACTTATTTAATAATCCTTACATAGATATATAAAAAGTAGTATCCATGAGCCTAAAAAGTTATAAGAGTCACACTTAATCTTGTAGCACAAGAAAAAGGGAGAGCGATAGCCAATAATTTCTGATATTGTTATCTAATCTAGGCTGGAGCAGACCCATATTATCAGAGCGACTTGGGCAGGACCCCCCTGCATGAAGCTTGTGCCGGTGGCCATGCCAGTGTAGTACAAGAACTTCTTCAATTCATGACAGATACCGACACACAAGACTGTCATAAACAAACTGCCGCACACATTACTGCTTTTCATGGAGAAGTAGAATGTCTGAGGCTTCTGATTGGCTGCGGCAGTAATATGAATATTGATGATAAGGATGGGTGTACTGTTGCTCACCTGGCTGCATTTAGAAACCACCCTGACATTATCAGGTACAGTAGGATATATAAAGACTGTGGAGGGGCATAGTCAGGATTTTGCCTTGGGGGTGGGGGAATGGGGGTTACATTGGTAATTCTCAGAACCCTTGGCTGTCTTGGCCTCCTTAGCTACATCCCTGCTGAGGGTGAGGTCTAGAATGGGGGTGGGGGGTGGCTAAACTCTCTTTTTTGGGGGGAGGAAGTTACAGACTGAGCCAAAGTCAAAGGTTTGCAGCCACTCCAGAATAATATTAGATTTGCTTCAGTTTCTTCTTGATTGACTTGGCATTAAATATGATAAAGTATTCACAGGAAGGCTGCCTATAGGTCTTTCTCATGTGGCAGCAGTGTTAGCTGGAGCAATATCTTTTTTAATGGCAAAAGCAAAGGCTTTAATTCTGRTGGGAATAAACATGGATGCTGCTTGAAAAAGTGTAATCCCATAGCTGTGATAACTGTTGCAACAGAACTTGTGGYCATCGATCTTTAGTTCTGCATCTGAGGAGCTTTTTTTGCTGTCTATACTCATGCAGTGTGTGATTTATAATTTCACGGTGTCTAAGATAAATGTTTATGATTACCCTTTATTGATATTTATAATTCCATCAATAGATGTCTAATTGAAGAAGGTGTTGATCCAAACTGCATCGATAATCACAGACGAACACCYGCACACTATGCCGCTATGTGCAATGGACTTGAGACACTAAAAGTTTTGGCACATAATGATCTAGACATCAACTCTAAAGACACAGATGGCTGTGTTCCTGCTCATCTGGCAGCCGCCCATAACAGCTTGTCCTGTTTGCAGTATCTCATATCAGCTGGTTTGACTAAGACAGAAGTAAGGGATAAAACAGGCAGGTCTCTTTTACATATGGTAAGAATTGAGAAAGCCTCTTTAAGCTAAGATAAAGAGCATTAAAACATCTCCTGATATCAATTTGTTTTGACCTGTCTGACATCAAAAAACAAATGGAAGTGTTATTTTTTCTACATTTTTTTTCTGATTGGTTCTAGGCAGCAATAAATGGAGCTACTGATTGTCTTCACTGGCTGTTGGAACGACGAGCTAACCCTAATGTTAGAGATGGTAAGTTCCAGCAAATGTTCATACTTCTCCCACTTATATGAGGATTGAGGATGGGTATTTTCAAGGGGTGGGGAGGGTCTGAGGGGTATATATGTGTAGTACCAGAAAATATCCATACCTCCCCCATTGAGGGGGATTGGAATTTCAAAGGGGTGGGGAGGGTCTGACGGGTATATTGTGTAGTACC